GTATCCTTTCAGTGCAAAAGTTAGAGGGGAAAAGCACTCCAAAACCTCATAGTTCAATTATGGTGAATAAATACCTAGAAATACAGGGCTGTCTTGGAAAATCCATCATGCACTTATTAACAGTGTTGCTTCATCAATGTTCAAAAAAGGTACTGCAATTGAAGACTTCAGAGAACTTACAAGAGCTTTATATACAGACATATTCTTTAGCCTTTGAAAAGGTTTTGCAGTGGTAATTCTTTGAGAAAATAAAATGTCATGAAGCAATAGATGAAAAAAACTTACAGGACAGAAAGCAAATCTAGTAACAGGAAATAGTATCATTTTTGGCAGGAAGGTCAGATGAAGTAGGAAGTTAATTTCCTACAGGTGACAAGATTTCCATACAGTCACAAAGCTAATTGCCTACAATGCCAATTACAGTGAGAAGCCTTAGACTAGGGCAATAACTACACGTCATAAAGGAACTCAATATTGGAAAGAAGGCCAGATGCTTTGGGTAAGTAAGTGATTACCTGAATGTAAGTTTTATACCATGTGAAAAACTAACTCTTTAGGCCAACAATATACCACTGAAGGTCCATGCCTAAATAATGCCATACGTCTACCAAAGGGCCTGACAACCAAACCAGCACACCTGTTCAAAATGCAATTTCCACAGAAATATAGTTCTGTTGGCAAAACCAAATAATGTTCTTCAAATAATTTCCTTATCTTGTTCATCTGTCAGAGGGGATATTTTCTATTATATTCTGTAACACAGGATCTTCCTTGCCCAATTTCCATTGGGAACACTGGACTTCTGGTTCCAGCCCCTCCTGCTTCTCCCTTAAAACTTCTCTACCCTTTACCAAGATTAGAAAAGAAGTTAACAAATGGATCTAATTATCACAGAGGTTTGAGGCTTCTCAACCTTTTATTTTTCCTCTTCCAACTGTAAAGATGCCCTCAGATTAAGCTTCACGTTCAGAACTGCTGTCAAACTCTCACTTTGATGGGCACTTAAATTTTATGTCAAGCTGATGCCTGTGGAAGACCTTGATTAAATTTGCAAACAGTAGACTCTTAGAAATCCACAACTTTAGAATCATCTCATTTTGCCTTTCAAGCTTAAATCCCAGTTTTCTTTTCTTCTTTGCAAAGAATTATAGAAGTTTGCTTTCAAAGAGCCTGAGTATCAGTAAGAAGGCAAAGTGTAACAAACAAAACACCTGCAAGCTTTTAGAGAAGAAATCTCTCAGCTGCTTTTTTTTTTTTTTTAAATCTTATTGTGATTTGGGTGAAAGTTTACAGACCAAATTCATTTTCCATACAGCAGTTCACATACACTGTCTCATTACATTGATTGCAATCTCCCACAATGCAACTGCTTTCCTCTGACTTCCTCCCCATAGCCACCTCTTCCCTGTGTCCTTCCCTCCCATGTACTCCTCCCCTCCTCCCAAGCTGTCTCCCTGTGCATACACAGCCCTTCTATTCTCCCATGATTGATCTCTCCAAGGAGTGTATCTACCTAATGTATGCCTGTCTTTTGCTTGGCTGGAAGCCACAGGAATGAGTTCAATTCCAGACCTGAAAGAGATAGGAGCCAAAGTCTCAGGGGTTCCACCAGGCTGTATCAGACCAGCAAAACCTGGTTCCTTTATTTTTATGATTTTGAGTTTTGTTCCACACAGTTCTCCTACTCTATCCAGGATCTCCTACACAGATTTCCCCCCACCCCCGAGTGGTTGAGTGGTAGCCAGGCACCATCTACTTCTTCTGGTCTCATAGTCATATAGGCTGAGAATATCATGGCATTCCAGTGGCTTGGACTAATTGTTTCCATGCGTCTTTGGTTTTCTTCATTCTTCTTTGCTCTGGATGAGGAAAGACACATCGTTGCATCTAGATAGCTGCTTGAAAGCTTTTAAGATTCTAGTCACTAGTCACCAAAGTAGAATGTGGAACAATGTTTTTATGTAGTATGTTATGCCAACTGAGGGTGATGTCCTGTGACCACGGTCCCAAGCCCACAGGTCCAACTACTTGCTCCCTCTGGATAGCTGCCTGTGGCCAAGAAGTGACTACAACCTTGTCCCCTGTTAGCTCTATGATATATGTGGAAATTCTTACAGAATATACAAATACACTTGTAAAACAGTCTACCAACCCATGGTCATGGGCACACTCTACCTGGCATAGACATAGCTAATTGTTTATCTCAGCTTATTTTAAAATTCTATATGAATTAAATGTCTTTCCCATTGCCTTATTCCATTTCCTCATTCAAAATCTGTAACTATTCCCTTTTATGACTCTATACCATAAGCAGTCTCAAAAAGTTTACCTCCAATCTTCTTAGTATTCTTTTCAGTGCACTGTAGTTAAGAGTTTTGTATTATATGAGCGTGAGAAACATTATGGGGAAACAGCATGAAAAAAATTGGTAGACTCTCCACTAACAATGTGGATGCTTCAAACCAGCTAAAAATTTCCAACCTAGTTTCTTTCCTCTATCGTTTCTTCTTTTGTCTCTGATAATCATACAATCTCTCCCCTTGAAGAGATTATAAAAGAGTAAAGTTAAAAGATTGGGAAGACTCATATTCTTTTTCATAGGCTACTGTTTTGAAAAGAGGCTCTTGGCTTTTGATTTTTCTTTTTAGGTTCTTCCTGTATCACCCGATTCAAGCAGGTCTGCTTTCAAAGAAAACAAATCAAAATTGTCAAGATCTGTGAAGCATGAAAAATAAATTGCTTTTTCCAAACTCCAAAAAAGCACCAGAAATACATTAATTCCTATCTTCTTATATAAACCTCTAACCCCTATCCTCTATCTATAGACTTCACAAAATGTTTATACATTCTGTATAATACATGACAGGAGATCAAACCCTATTAGAAAGAAACTGAACTTGTAATGCAACTACTTTTTAAACTAGTGTAATTTTTGAGTTTGCCTAGTTTAGACACATACAAAACATACTAGTAGCATGACACAAATTCTTGGGGCTGCTAGTCTGAAATAAATAGTCAACTAAGACACATCTACTGTGCCGTCAATAGTTCTGTCCTTTCAGCTAGTGGTAGAACAGGTTTCATAAAAGGAGACCATGAGGCAGGAGAAAAAGACAGCCTTGCAAAATGTGGCCGAATATGAAATATTCTGTCATAAGACTTCTCACTGAACTAGAGCAGTGAGACTACTCCTAATATTTCCTTTCTTTTAATACAGCAGAGACCCACATTTCTATGCTTGTCTCTCTAAAGCTAACTTAGTTCTGTGGATAAAATAGCCCCATGTAGCACTTGTTCTTAACATTAAAAAACAAAAAAGACACTTGTGGTTTTGCACTCATGGATAAAGTGGTAGAAGTTATTAGATTCCTGTTGAGAACTATAAATGATGAAAGAGCAGATGGCTTCAAAAAGAAGAAATTTATAGTGGTAATTTGTAGCAGAATAAGACTATTTTGTAAACTAGGTTAACAATAATTCACAAAGACAAGTAAAAGTTGAGATAATATCTCATTTAATTATGCTACTAATATGCCAAGAAACCTTTCACTCAGAAGCCTGAATATAAACCTGATCAGCTGATATTTTTAGGTTCTGATGCTCTGATCTTGTTAAAATCCTTATTTTCATATGGATGCTGTTTATTACAGGATTAAAAACAGTGCTGTTACCAGTCCAGTTTTCTGAATACAATGTCCTCTTTTCCATTTAGCTAATATCTGATTCAAGAGAAGGGAAAAGTGCCTCTCTTTACCAGGAATAAAGGGCTGAAATAGTTTAATAATTTTCTCATAATCCAAGGTAATGTGCGGGAAGGGTTATATTTCAAACTAGGTTTCTCTCCTAAGAGCCCCAAAACTGGCTGGGTGAGTATAGACCAGAAGGAAGAAATTAGCTAGATAAGGGCACTCACAATAACACTGCCCTGTAAATGGGGTCTATAAATGCCAGGGACAGTCCCTGTCAAAGAGAGCATGGCATTAATCTACTATGTCCACAAATCATCCACAGTATTTACTGAATTCTATCCCTGGTACTAAAAGAAGGGAGTTACTATCAATATCAGAATATTCCTTACTTAAGGTAATGAATTTACCAAGCCTATTTGGCATTTTACAGAAAGCAGTAAATTACGGAAGTTGGAGAGTTGAACAAAGAAACACATCAGATTTACCTTATATCCTTCTTGCTTTAGTAATTGCATAATGCTCCCAGTGTAAATGGAAAATGACAACAGCTAAGGATTACCACAATTGAACATAACAAAACACTCTAATTAATTAATAAATATAATTGACTACTCCAATGTTTCTCTTAATGCCCAAATCATCATTCACTTTTAGCAGTTTCTTGTCACTCAAAGGGGCAAAAAGTTCTCCTAGTTGATGTGGAATACCACAAATGAGCCAATACCCGCCTCCTTAAAAAAAAAAAAAAAAAAAAAAAACAAAAACACAAAACAACCAGCAGTTCCACTGGTGACATGATCTTTTTTTGGCAGTATGTTGGATATACTATAATGCAACTTTAAAAACTGAGTTAATGTCTAATCTGTTAGACACAAACATGACTCTCCCATTTGCACACAAACACACTCATATATGTTTTAAAATTTATTAACAAAAGGATCCAGAAAAAGATTGTGTCAAAATTATAAAGTGATAAGTATTAAAAGAAAAGCAGGTTTTAAGTTGTATTATTTCTAGGGAATTGTAACCAGACCAGAAAGCTGTCTTTATATCTCAAAATAGGACATAAATCATGCTATTCAAGTTGTAGATGACAACAGGAACTCTCTCTCTCTTCCCTTTAGTCAAAGCAAAATACAGCAGAGGTCTTCATTTTACTTGCAAGCTTGCTTTTATAAAGAAGGATATGCACATGTGGATGTAATGAAGTGGGGATAGGGTGGAAGGAGAAGTTATAGAAGAAGGGTAAAAAAGAAAAAGGCAAAATAGCTCATGAAGGCTGATAAGGAGAAAGGGTTACTAAACTAAGACTCATCCACTGAAGTAGTCTTCTAGTCCCTCCATATCCATTTCCAGAGAGGAGTTTAAAGAGGCTAGAGCAGAGGATGCATCCTTGGTTTTCTGGGCACTTGGTTTTGGTTGAGTTTCTGGTTGGATAGATTCCTTCTTGATGTCTTTACCACCATTTAGAATCCGCTGGCTCTCAAAAAAGAACTGATTAGGATGAGTCAAAGAAAAGCCACAATCATCAACCTGTACAAGGAAGAAAATTAATATTGCATCAATATATAGCAAAACTATAAAGGAGTTTGAAAAACTATGCCAGTCTTCACTTAAAAACTATTTAATATCTGAAATATGTTGTTGTTGTTGTGTTCTGTGGACGCATAACTCATAGTGACTCATGGAAATCCCTCCTTGGGTTTCCAAGGCAGTATTACTACAGAAGTAGATTCCCCAACCTTCCTTCCGAGGAGTGGCTGGTGGGTTTGAACCGCCAGCCTTCTGGTTAGCAGTCATGTGCCTTGGGCACTATGCTACCAGAGCTCCTATCTGAAATATGGATCTCTTTTATAACACTCAATGCACCACTTACAGTATTTTATTCAGAGTGAGCTTCCATCTACCGAAACCTTACTGACCCTGCAAATTTGTATTTCTAGCTTAAACTTAGCTCTCTATCCAACTCTAGTTCCAGATCCAACTCCCACTCAATATCGCAAATGCCTCAAAGCCACCTCAAACTCAACATGAAACTCAACCTTTCCCTTCTCCCCATCCTTCATTCTCAGTAACTGGTATCACAATCCACTCCCCCTTACCTCCCCAGTCTCCACATCCCTTTTAACCAATGCCCATGACATATCCAAACCACTGTCAATTCTTGTTAATAAAAACCCCAAAATCAAAGCCACTGCCATCATGTTGATTCAGACTCATAGCAACCCTGTAGGACACAGTAGGGTTATTCCATAGGGTTACCAAGGCTGTAAATCATTACAGAAGCACACTGCCTCATCTTTCTCTTGGGGAGCAGCTGATGCATTTGAACTACCGACCTTTGGGTTGGGAGTCAAATGCGTTAACCACTGCACCACCAGAACTCCTTATTCTTGTTGATGAGTACCTCAAAATAAAAAATTGGAAAAAAGTAATAAAAATACGTTTGGGAAACACCTACGTGTATGTGCTGGTGTGCACCACAATGCGCATTAGTGTAATGGCATTTTTTTAGTTTTGTTTAACTTCATCTTCCTCAATGTTGTCTGTACCTGGACTTTTATCCCCTGCTCCCATAGTTGATGCTCATAACCAGTATGTTCCTTTTGCCAAGGTTAATGATTTTGTACTGCAGTCAATCATTAAAACTTATAAAACTTCTTTAACTTTTGGTGTTTTCTATTAGAATCACAGGAAACACTGTGTTACAGAATCATAGCATACTGTGCACTTGTAGGGCTCCTACACTGCCTTGTCTAGGATTTCTATGACGTCATTTCTCACATTAGATATAAGGATTGCTCATCAGTCTGTCTCTCACTTCCCCACCTTTTGAGTGTGAGTTCCTTGAGAGCAAAGACCTATGTGTTTGATTATTTAATCCTCAGTGCCAAGCAAAATGGCCAGTATATTATAGGCCAATAAATATTTTTGTAAAAAAAGAATAAGTGATATTTAAACCATCCAGAATCACAGGGAATATTTATAAACATAGACATTTTTTCAGTGGTCCCTGACACAATTCATATTCTAGAGCTTATTTATACATCTAGCATATGTAATCTCATTTAGTATGATACATACTGTTTACAAAAGCAACCTAATTTAATGTAAGTTTTTCATTAATCTTTGGCTTTCCCTACTCTTCATTTTTACAGAAAATCTTTTTCTTTTCTAATTTTAATTGTGGCTTAAGGCAAATATGCCCAAGTTCATAATTTTATGCTATTTCTTTTCTCAAATACTGTCACTAAACTTAGAATTAAATTTAACTTTCAATATCATTTCAGATTATCCACTACTACTCTGTGCCTTTAGTACTCAATAAGCCTTAATGATGGTATCAATACTTTAGTATTTGAAGATTCAGCAAGCACTACTTTTTCTACATTTTCATCCTAAAATCTACTTATGGTAAGAAAAGTATCTTCCTTAAAAATATCAAACACTTATTTAATGCCAACAATGTGCATTAAATCATTCTAAGTGTCACAAACACATTTTCATTCAGACACACACACACACACACACACATTCATTTAGTTCTCACAATAACATCCTCAAGGTAGATTATCAATATTTGCCCCATTTTTCAGATGAGACATCTAAGGAAGAGAAAAATTAAGCAATTTGCCCATGATCACATACTAGCAGGTGGTGGAGATGGCAGTCAAGTTCTAGAGTTGAGGCTCATAACCAGTATGTTCCTTGTGCCAAGGTCAATACTATTGTACTGTAGTCACTCACTAAAACTTGTACACTTTACTAACTCTTGGTGTACTCCATTAGAGTGTGAAATAAGAGCAAACTAACTCATACAAGGATGTTTTTCCTGAAGTATGAATCTCCTTTCTGCATGATTCACTTTTTTCATATTCAACCAATGGGTCAAACTGAGTTGATCAGATATAGAACTCTAACTAACTCAAGTGCCTACCCCCTTCTGCCTTCTGTAGTTGAAGTTAACAACAAAAATAATACCGTTTTGTTGAGTTAGTTACTTTTCCTTTGATAGGAAGCATTTTCACTTCATATTTTTTATAAGTTGAGAAGCCATTACACTTCTTGTATTTATCAGCCTTTGTATATCTTAATCTTCTTTATACTGAAGTGACTTGTATACAGTAGGTATCGAATAAAAATTTGGTGAGTTGAGCCCAGAACTAGTCAGTGTATACTAGTCATACAGTGGACATATTAACTGAAGACTTACTATGTACAAGGCCACGTCATGAGCTAGCAGCTTTCAGTGTATATGCATTTGACTAAGACTAAAGAAATCTTCAGTCTAGTAAGACATTTACTTAAAAACTACTATTAAGAATGGAAAAGTGGTAAGGGTAACAGATAAAGGCCTACTTCATACAGTCCACCATAGAGAGAAATTGTAGCTACAGAGATCAAGGAAGGCTTTGTGAGGGAAGTGTAGTTCAGTCTGAAAAGATGGAGAAAATGCATAGCTGAAGTGAAAGGGCATTACAAGCAGCAGGACTTCATGAGAAAGATAAAGAGAGAAAATCCTCAGAAAGCAAGTAGTTCAGATGGCCTGGTGTGAAAGGTACATGAAGGAAAATAATAGGAAATAAGGTGAGAAAGACAGGCTGGGGCCAGACTTCAAACAGAACCTTGAAAACCATGGTGAGCCATCTGGACTTAATTCTGTTGGCAACAAGGAATCACTAAAGATTCTCAATTAGGGAGGTGATGTGATTAGAACTATGCATAATATTATGAAAGATTTAAATGGATTGTTAGGTGCCCCTGAGTCAGCTCTAACTCATAAACCCTATGTACAAGACAAAAAACCCTGCTTGGTCCTGCACCATCCTCACAATCCCTGGGCTATGCTGAAGCCCATCAGTGCAGCCACTGTGGAGGGTCTTCCTCTTTTTCACTGACCCTCTACTTTAACAAGCATAAAATCCTTCTCCAGAGACTGGTCCCTTCTGATAACGTGACCAAAATAAAGGAGACAAAGTCTGGTCATTTTTGCTTCTAAGGAGCATTCTGGCTCCACTTCTTCCAAGACAGATTCGTTCTAACTGGCAATCCATAGTATTTTCAGTATTCTTCACCAACACCACAAGTCAAATGCATCTTCTTCAGTCTTCCTTATTCATTGTCCACCTTTCACATGCATATGAGGCGACTGAAAATACCAAGGCTTGGGTCAAGCGTGCCTTGGTCTTCAAAGTTACATTTTTGCTCTTAAACTCTTTAAAGAGGTCTTTTGTAGCAGATTTGCCCAGTGCAATATGACATCTGATTTCTTGATTGCTGCTCCATAGGTGTTGATTCTGGATACAAGTAAAATTATATCCCTAAAACTTCAATCTTTTCTCTATTTATCATGATGTTGCTTATTGTGAGGATTTTTGTTTTATGTTGAGATATAATCCAAACTGAAGGCTATACAGTCTTTGATCTTCATCAGTAAGTGCTTCAAGTCATCTTCACTTTCAGCAAGCAGGTTGTGTCATCTGTATACCACAGGTTCTTCATGGATCCTCCTCCAATCCTGATGCCTCATTCTTCTTCATAGAGTCTATCTTTTCAGATTAAATGCTCAGTATATAAAATGAACAAGTACAGTGAAACAATACAATCCTGACACACAACTTTTATGATTTAAACCATGCAGTGTCCCTTTGTTCTGTTTGAACCACTGCCTCTTGGTCTATCTGAAGGTTCCTCATGAGCACAACTGAATGTTCAAAATTTCCCATTCTTTGCATTGTAATCCATAATTAGTTATGATCCACACAGCCAAGGGCCTTTGCATAGTCAATAAAACACAGAGAGACATCTTTCTGATATTCTTTGCTTTTAGCCAAGATCTGTCTGACGTCGGCAATGATATCCCTTGTTCCACATCTTCTTCCAAATCCAGCTTGAATTTCTGGACGTTCCCTGTCAATATACTGCTGCAACTATTTTTGAATTATATTCAGCAAAATTTTACTTGTGTGTGATATTAGTGATAAGGTTCAATAATTCCAGTATTATGTTGGGTCACCTTTCTTTGGAATAGGCATAAATATGGCACTTTTCCAGTCAATTGGCCAGGTAACTATCTTTCAAATTTCTTGGCACAAATGAGGGAGAATCTTGAGTGCTGCATCTATTTGTTGAACCAACTCAATGGGTATTCCATCAATTCCTAGAACCTTGTTTTTTGCCAGTTCCTTCAGTGTAGCTTGGACATATTCCTTCAGTCTCACCAGTTCTTGATCATATACTACCTTCTAAAATGGCTGAACGTTAACCAATTCTTTCTGGTACAGTGACTCTGTGTATTCCTTCCATCTTCTGTTGATGCTTCCTGCACCGTTCAATATTTTGTCCATGGAATCCTTCCATGTTACAACTTGAGGTTTGAATTTTTCTTTCAGTTCCTTTGGCTTGAGAAATGCTGAGCGTGTCCTTCTCTTTGGTTTTCTAATTCCAGGTCTTTGCGCATTTCATTATTATACTTAACTTTGTCTTCTCGAGCTGCCCTTTGGAATGTTTTGTTCAGATCTTTTAGTTCACCA